CATCTGTGATATGTTCCAGCCCGTTGTTACAGTCATTGTGTCAATCCATCTTGTTGAGGATCTTCCTTTCTTTATCTGACCAGTGTAATATCTTTTGCCAAGGACAGGCCCCTTCTCACAACATGGCCAAAGGGTGTGAGATAGATTTTCCCAATCCTTGCCTCTAAGAAGTACTGCTCTTCTTCCTAGACAGATGTGTTGGTTCTTTTGGCAGCCCATGGAATACTCATTACTCTTCTCCAACACCGTGATTCAAAAGCATTAAGTGTGTGGTATGTGTGTGTGTCTGTGATCCCAATACATGTTGTTGTTATGTGCCATAGAATTTGAACTGACGCATAACTGACCCTCCGGCGGGTTTTCAGAAACTATAAATTCCATGGGAGGAGATTCTTTCTCTTTCTCCCTGGAGCAGCAGGTGGATCTGAACATTCTCATGGGTTCTGGTTATAATTTATTCTTTTTACTTCTGGCTGTTCTATTTTCCTGAATCTAGTTTATCTGTTCCCTTTTTGTCTTATCTCTGTTTTAAAGTAATTGTTGTGCATTAGATCTCATATAGATTCTTTTTTAAAGGAAAGTAGTATTAAATGGTGATACTATTTATTTTATGATCTCATCTGTTATTTAGCTATAGTATTGTAATTTTTTTAGTACATCAGGATCATAGGAAGATGATTACGGTAGTACGGCTCAAAGCATCCCATCTCTCATGTGCTAAACAACAAAGTCCAAACCTCCAAAATTAAAGACAATGTCTGGACACATGACCACAAAATAAGGCCCTGCCTTTCCTTAATCAGACCTGTGTAGGAGATGTCTATTTTCTGAAAGTTTCATTCTTCAAATTGCTACACAATGAGAAACAAAAGGAATTATGTAATTATATCTTCAGATGACGTTACTTTTACTTCTCTTTGCAGGTTTCTCCCCCTGCAGTTTGTGACTCTCTCTGTGCATGATGCTAAGAATATGCGCCTCAAAGTAAAGCTGGCGAGTGGCAAAGCCTACTATCTACAGCTCTGTGCCCCTGCGTCTAAACAGGAAATTTTATTTTGTCGGTGGGTAGACCTCATTGCCATCTTGAATCAAGATAAAAATAAAGTTTGCAAACTCTCAGAACTTTCGAGCCTGTCTGAAATCACAAATAGCACAGAAGTCACAAGCTCAATGGACATCAAGGATATTGCCACATTCACTGCTTTGCAGACTCCCTATATGTGTCCCTGCCCAGACCACCTACAAGCTGTGGAGAGCGTGGATTCCTCAGAATTCACAGATGTCACTGATGTCACCGATGTTCCAGAAAATGAGACGACAGAGATCCAAGATGTAAAACTTGTCACAGAAGTCACAGACATCACAGACATCCTTGATAACACACTCAGCTCGGAATTCAAC